GGCCGCCCGGGGAGGGGGTCGCGGCTGGGGTGGGAGCAGGAGAATGGGCCCCGTGGGGGCGCGGAACTGCGGGAGCAGCGCTGCTTTGATTCGCCCCCCTGCCTGGGCCAAACGCGAGCTCCGCGCGTTGCTCCCGGAGGGCTTAGAGGACTATTAAAAAGCCGCCCGCCCTTGCGAAACCCGCTCCCGCGGGACTCCCTTTCCGAGGCCGGCGCTTTCCTGGCGCAGCGACTTGGCCGCGTTAGAAGAATGGGCGTATCTTGGTTGCGCCGGGAAGGAACGGGCGATTTTAATACAAAACGCGTGCCAGGAAGCGTGGATTGTGCCTGGTAAAGCTGGCTTGCACAACTCAGAAACATTTCCCCCGGGCTATCTGGCACCTTTTTATTGCATTTTAATGAACTAGGCAATTGGGTTTTTATTTATGACCTGTATTTACTACTTTGCTTTCTGGGGCGGGTGGTGGTGGTGGCTGTTTTGGAAAAGTTCAGGAGCAGTCCACTGCTGTATGAAGAGCCCTGCTGGGAAATGCTTGGTGATTCACTGCACCACCCATGTGCAAACAAGCACACTACGGTACTATCCCACAGCTGTGTGACTTGTTTGGAATTGGTGTGTCAAGTGATGCATGAATGACCACTCTGATCCCTCAGTGATGTTGTCTGCATCCTATAAATAAGGCCAATCTATCCGTCTATTCAGGGGCACAGTCCCTCTTGGAATCAAAAATAAATGTCTGTTTAAAGGAAACAGTTACCAGTATCCATTGGTATGCTGTGTATGTATTGGTGAGAAGGACCCAGGTGACCTTCACTATAGTATATGGTACTTTCTTTATTTATCAAATTGATATAGCTGCCTCTCCGACTGTTGTGACTCTGGGCGGTGTACAATAAAACAAACAATTAAAACGAATCTTAAATAACCATTGAAAACAATTAACATAAAATATAAATAAGATCACAGGAGAATGCACCAAAATCCCACATACAGTACAACCATCTCGAGGGCTGCCTATGACCATGGGATCCCCAAGCCTGCTGAAAAAAACATGTTTTAAGAGATTTCTGGAAAGACAATAGGGCTGGGGGCTAATCAGTAGGGCTGGGGGCTAATCAATAGGGCTGGGGGCTAATCTGGAAAGACAATAGGGCTGGGGGAATGATGTTCCAAAGGGTGGGTACTACAGCAGAAAAGGCCCACCTCCTGGGTCCCCTCAGACGGAACTCTTTAGCAGACAGGACCTGTAACATGCCCCTCCTGCTGGACCAGATGGGATGGGTAGACGTAACCGAGGACAGGCAGCCCCTCAGATAACCCGGCCCCATGCCATATAGGACTTTAAAGGTGAAAACCAGCACCTTGAGCTCAACCTGGAAGCAAACTGGCAACCAGTACAGCTTGCAGAGCAGAGGTGTAATATATGCCTTTCTAGGAGCCCACATAACTGCCACCATATTTTTCACCAGTTGAAGCTTCTGGATACTCTTCAAGGGCAGCCCCATGTAGAGCATGTTACAGTAGTCCATGTGGGAGATGACCAGCACATAAGTAACTCTGAGTTTAATGCAGAAAAATATATACCATTTGCCCCTGCTGCAGTCAACAGGGCTATCAGTCGTTTATAGCCGTTCATCTGAATGCAATAGAACATCTACAGCAGTGTTGTCCAAACATGGCGACTTTAAGATGAGTGGACTTCAACTCCCAGAATTCCCTAGCCATGAAGTCCACTCATCTTAAAGCAGCCAAGTTTGGACAACACTGATCTACAGTAATGACATAATGTTTTTAAAAGCACCAATACAATGTAGAAAAAACATTTACACATCATATCAGGGTTATCTCAGGCCATCATCCCCCTTCCCCCATGATGGAGGGTTTTTACTTGGACATACAAGTTGGACCAGTTGATTTCATGACTTAATGATAACTCAACATCAAGCCAGGTCTTTTGTTGAGCATCCACAATCTTCATAATAACTGGGTTGAGTACAGTTACTTCTGAATTTATTTGCAATGATGTTCAGATTTCTTCTCACAATCAGGAAGTCTTCAGTGAGGCTCAACTAACTACTTTTGATTCAAGAGAGACCATGTCATCTGCATTGATGGGTGCACTCCCTATCATTGGGTCTTACGTCTGGATGGCCGTTTGTAAACTTCCGTTGGACATGCAGTTTTTTCTTGGTTGCTTTTCTTGAGTATTTTTGGAGTGCCGGAAGGTAGGGCTTTTGTTTCCAAACACAGGTAGGATAAGGAGTTCACCTTGTTAACAGTAAAAAAAATCTGGAGTTTGGTAGTACCATTTCTGACTAATAAGTGGTGTGTCTTTGGGATCTTCTGTGAGCTTCAGGTACTGTAGAAGCATGAAACGAAAAAGAATCAGATGCAGCCAACACACTTTGACCTTTGTTTCTTCCTTCCTTCCAGATTTTGTCTTAGAGAACATATTACCTTTGTCTGATGAAACCTTTTTCATGCAGATACTTGGGGTTGCTGTTATGTGGTAATATATTCTGGGACTGATGCAAGAACCTATTCCTTCTGGGCATAACAATATGTAGTACTTCTCTTGCAATCTCCCAGATAAGGAAACTGCCTGATTAAGCTAGGAAAGATAGCACACTTTTGCTTTTCTACTAAATCTGATAGATCTTCTACTGTCTTTGATTCACAGTCTTCTCTTTGAAATTCAGGGGTATCTTTTGGCCACATCCTCACTTCCTTTATAAAATGCGCAATCTCGTCGAAAGAAAAAAAGAACATCTGTTGAGAAACTGCATTGTTTCATTGTTTAAATTTCAGCTGTCCTGTTCTGATGAGAGAGGATAATTCCAGGATGACCTAATTCTCTTAACATTTCTCTCTGGTAAAAGATCTGGAGAAAATAGAAAGATATTTGAATTTCCTTCACAGGGCATGCCCTTTTGAACCCAGGCTTTCTATTTATGAAAAGAAGACTTCTTTTCCTACAGCAGTGTTTCTTAAACTTTTTTCTCTGAGGACCCCTTTCCGCTTTTGAAGATTATGGAGGACCTCCAAAGAGCTTTTGTTTGTGGGTTATATTGATCGATATTGACCCTATTAAAAATTAAAATCAGCACAGTCATAGAATATTTATTTATGTAATTTTAAAAGATTTATATTACGGTGGTGTAATATGGGCAAATATGAAACACCCATAAGAGTGCCCCCCTCGCATCCTCCCCAAGGAGGGGAAGCTACCAAGATGGCCTTCAGACCATGTGGCTTCTTCTTTCTCATCACTGCTGCCCGCTGCTGCTGCCACCATTTACCGGAGCATCCGAGCCCTCCGGTCAGCTAGGGCTCCCCCTCCCAGGGCTGTAGCCACGGCCACCTCACTGCAGACAGCCTGCCCGGCCAACTGCTGTATTCCCATAGTGGGCTGTGAAATGGAATTGTTTCTCAAATTGTTTGATGGGATTTTAATACCTGTTATTTTCCAACATAGGCTGGCTTTTGTGGACCCCGAGGCAGGCTTGGGGGACCCCCAGGGTTACCCAGACCACACTTTTAAGAAACACTGTCCTACAGGTTCCTTTTTGTCCCCATTTGCCACAGCGTGTCACAAATTCAACTTCCAGTGAAAGGGGTCAAGGAACCCTATACACTGTTACCTTTAGTCTCCTTTCGTAATACTAGAAAATTGTCCTTCTCATCCTCCAGCAGCTGAAGAATGCTTTTTGTGTAAACTCTCCCTTCAGCCTTCCCTCCTTCCTGTACTGATGCCCAAATTTTGCATCCTTTATAATATGATTCAAACAGAAGGCATGCATACAATTTGGTGTATATTTGCATATGTGGGTAGTAGCAACTTCTCTGTCTTTTTTTTAAAATACTTTTTATTGAAGAGTTTAGCAAGACTAAAAGATAATACAAACCAAAATCAGAAAGAGAAAAGATAGTAAAAAGAAATACAGTGCAAAAAGAAAAAAAAAGAAAAAAAGAAAAGCATTTTTTTAAAAAAAGAATATTTAAAGAAGTGACTCCCAATCTTCCTTGCAACAAGTGCAGGCAAATTTAATGTTTCCCCATTCCCTATAAGATTATATACATAATTCACTTCTACCTATAAACCCCCCCATCCATTCACAAATCCAAAAATCATTGTTGTTTCTGTCCAAGTATCTGCAAAAGTCCATTAAGAATTTTATAGAAGTATTTCTTATTTTAACCCTGATCAAACAAGTGAACTTTATATTCCTTTCTTTTGCTTCTGACAATCTTTAATTCATCAACTTGCTATCATGGGATTGAATCTCCATTCAGACTTACTTTCTCCTGTGTTAAAGCTTTAGAAACCTTTTATAAATCCAGTGAGAAGTCCTTGTCCAGGTCATTTTTCATCTCTTGGCTTATCTTTTGTATTTCCACTTTGGCTGTCATATCTGTTCTATAATCCACAATTTCTTTATTTTCCAGTGTTTCTACATCAGCTGGAATTTGTTTCACTTGTCAGTCTACAAATTATTTCATTGTTGTTTTCTTTCCCACCTTCCATTTCTTTAGAAT